GAGATGATTTGGGAGGTTGTTGAAATAATCCGCGGCAGCCGGGTGTGGGGATGCATGCTTGCAATCTCAGCGATTCAGGAGGCTGAGGCAGGAAGATCTCGAGTTCAAAGCCAGCCTCAGCAACAGCAAGGTGCTAAGCAACTCAGTGAGACTGGGAATTGTGGCTCCCTGGCTCCGTGGTCGAGTGCCCCTGTGTTCAATCACCAGTAGCAAATAAATAGATAAGAAAGAAAGAATCCAGGGCAGGTTAGCCAGCCCAGGGAGGGATTGAAGTGTTCTAGTTCCAGAGATGTCTGGAAGACAGAACGGGCAGCTGTCAGCATCAGGGCAAAGAAAGGTGGACCAGAATGGCTCTTTGATGTCTGAGTTGGGGCTTCTCCTCCCAGACCTCCAGCTCAGCCCACCATGCGGGACTCAATCTGCCTGTCAACTCCTTGAGGAACCCTAACCTCCCCCACTCACACATGGATTAGACCCTGGACCACACAGTCCAGGAATTTGATGTGACTTCAAGGAAGATGAAAGAGTTCCTTCCTGTCTGCATCGCCAGCCCGGCGACACCCAGAATGGGGGCCTCCTCCGTCCTCTCCCCCAACCTGTTTCTCCAGATCGCAGACACTTAGAAGCGCTTGGCACTTAGAAGGTCCTGGATCAGTATCTGTCAAAGGCATGAAGTATCACTGTAGCAGAAAACACATCAATTCTAAAACTCGTCCCGGCTCGGATGTTCGAGAGGACGATGCAGATGCTGTTTCAATAACTACACTTGCTTTATGCAGTTACTGTGCACTTGACTCTTGAGTGTTAGGGTCAACCTGATCATTGACTCTTCTCTGCTGCTTCTGAGGATTTATGACCATCTCTTCCATCGAACAGGTGGAAAAACAGAGGCTCCATCAGGAATCTGAGCTTGGGCCTCATTCCCCCCGTTTCCAGCACATTGGCTGCAGGAGGTGACTCCACAGTGGGCAGGAGGTGAGGGGAGAGGGAGGTGGACTCTCTATTCCTAGCTGGATATCCAGGTTGTCACTCTTGGATCCTGGGTATCAGCCCCAGGGGATAGGTTGTCCTGGCAACGTGACTCTCAACAAGATGCCCATCCCTTTAGAATGCCCGGGGCACCCCAGAACCACGGATTTCCCCTGAAACTCAGCTGCTGTGTGTCCGTCAGCATCCACTGTCTGTTCAGTAGTGGTCAGTGCCTCTGATCTCTTCGGGAGTGGTCCCCTTGTCCCCGTAGCCTAGGCACACACTGTCCTTGGGTCATACCTCAGTGCCTGAAAGACTGTGAGTGGCCTGCTCTTACCATGGATAGGAACGGATGTCCTCTAACTCCGATGCTTTGTCCTCCCAGAGGCCTGTCACTCAAAGATCTGGGAACTGGGAAGAGAGCCTTGAGACATGGCAGCATGGAGCTCTGAGGCCGTGGTGAAGCTCCCAAGAAGAGGGACATGTGGGCACCTGCAATCCCAGCTCTTCCTCCAAGATCTCCCCCAACAGCACTTTATTTGTTTTTAGTTGAACACCTGATGAAATTGAAACTGGAAGTTTTAGTTTACGGCAAGAATGTTACTGATCTTTGGTTTCTGTAGCTCGGCTTCAGGTGGGAGCTGGTCCCATATTTCTTTTTTCTAATGTATCTCCTTTTTTTTTTTCAATACTTTATTTTTTATGTGGTGCTGAGAATCGAAGCCTGTGCCTCACGTGTGCTGGGCAAGCGCTCTAGCTCTGAGCCCCGGCCCCCTCCTTTTTTATCACCCCATATTTTATACAGATGGTGGGTTTCGTGGTGGCCTGCTCCCATCTACATAAAACATCATTTGCTCAATTCCCTGACGCCTTCCTCTCCCTGCCCTCTCCCTCCCTGCCCCCTTCCTCCATCATAATGGTCTCCCTGCTGCTTTTATGGTATCCCTTTTTTTTTTTCTCCTTCATTTCCACAAATGAGGAAAAATAAACCACATAAAGATAATTTTCTGATTCTGACTTATCTCACTCAAAATCATGTTCTCCAGTTCCATCCATTTTGCTACGAATGACCTAATTTTGTGCTTCCTTATGGCCCAATAAAACCCCATTCTGGCCGGGCACAGTGGCGCATGCCTATCATCCCAGCAGCTCAGGAGGCTGAGGCAGGAGGACTGTGAGTTCAAAGCCAGCCTCAGCCACAGCGAGGCCCTAAGCAGCTCAGTGAGACCCTGTCTCTAAATAAAACACAAAATAGGGCTGGGGGTGGGGCTCAGTAGTGGAGTGCCTCTGAGTTCAATCTTTGGTACCATAAAAAAAACAACAGAAAAACCCCACCCCCATTGTGTACGCACACCACATTTTCTTTATCCATTCACCCCGTGATGGACTCCTCGGCTGGTTCATACTTTGCCTACCATGATTTGTGCTGCTATTAACATAGGTACGCTTGTGTCCCTGTAGTAAGGTGACTTTAATTCTCCAGGGTAAATACCGAGGAGTGGTACAGCTGGGTTATGTGGTGGCTCTATTTTCCAGCTGCTGCCATTTCGAGGGCTGGTTGGAACTGGGACGGAGGCAGGGACATCAGGGGTTCTGCTCCCCGGTGACACTCACTGAGGCCTTTGGATGTGTTGTTTTTCACTGGTTTCTTTCAGGTTTATTGCTTATTTTTGCTTCTAATTTTAAACGCTCTCTGTTTTGATGACAACATGTTCCGTGTTCGTCAACTTGCTATCAAAACAATACATTAAATAAAAAATAATGACTTTCTTCCTTCCTCCCGTCCTGTCTGCTGTTTGTTTTGGCCAGCGATGCGCCTTGCATCAGCCGTGCTGCTAGGCCCCTGTTTTCCCAGGTTAGCGCCCGGGAGAAAATGAAGATGTCCTGAGTAGAAAGCAATCCAGGAGCTCTGCACTACGACGGCAAAGAAGTCTTAGGACTAACTCAACGGGTGACATTTCTTGCATATTTTCTTTTTATAGGACCCACCAGACTGATACACTGAAAAGAAAACTGTGCTGTCTAAATAAGTCCAAAATAATTCTTCTGAGAAGTATAAAATAGGGACTGGGGTTGTGGCTCAGCGTAGAGCACTCACCTAGCACGAATGAGGCGCTGGCTTCGATCCTCAGCACCACATAAAAAAGAATAAATAAAATAAAGGTATTGTGTCCAACTACAACTAAAAATATATATATATATATATTAAAAAAGAAGATGTATAAAATAAAAGTTCTGATGATCAAAAAACACAGTTCTGTTTTTTCAAAACCTTAGAAAACTCAGGCTAGGCCAGGCACGGTGGCACACGCCTGTCTTCCCAGCGGCTCTTGGGAGGCTGAGGCAGGAGGATCGCAAGTTCAAAGCCAGCCTCAGCAACAGTGAGGTCTTAAGCAACTCAGTGAGACTCTGTCTCTAAATAAAGTTCAAAATAGGGCTGGAGATGGGGCTCCGTGGTCGAGTGCCTCTGAGATCAATCCTTAATACCCCCACACACGAAAAAAAAAAAAAAGGAAAAACTTGAGATGGGAATCTTTTGTAGCTTGACTTTAAAACCAGACTCACAGAAGATTAGAGCTAAATAACAGAGTCTTAGTCTCGTGGGGCTTTGGAACCATAGAATCCCAGCTTCAGAGTCCTGGGGCTAGAAGGACATTTGAGCTGCTACTTTACCAATGGAAAGAATGAGACCCTGGGGACAGAAGCTCTTTGCCTGACACTTCCCAGCATCCAACAAAGGAAGAGAATTCACACATCCTTTCACGCATGGTGCTGCAGGGCCGCCAAGTACAGCTGTGCAAGTTGGGCACAGTACAAGGTGCCATAGTGATGTTCTAGACAATACAGATCCATATCAATAATTTCTGGCAGATGACAGTAAAATGTCTTGAGTTTGAGACATTTTTTCTATCATCTGTGCAGAAGTGTCATATGGGGTAGCGAGAACCCTGCTGTTCTCCCTCATTCTCCACCAAGCGAGCTCCAGCTTCGTCCTTTAGGTACTCTCTCCTCCTGGGAGAGCTCCATAGCAACACCCCCCAGGCTTCCTGCATGGATCTATGGTTACTGTCCACTGTTGACACAGGAGTCAATAACCACTGGTGGGGACTTCCAACAGAGATGGCTCCGGGTGGAACCTGGACCAGGATTCAACAACACCAAACAGACACACAAACACAATGTTGGATCTTCTTTGATTGAATCAGGCATGGGGGGGGGGGCGTGGGGTGGGCGAGTGTCTTTCGAATTCTTCTCTGATGCTTGCTAATCCAGGGAGCAAGTAGGGCACCGGCTCAGAGGCTTGGGTGGGCAGTGGTGTCTGCTGAGAACTCAGTTCTTCTTTAAATTGTATTTGATTTATTTATAGGATTGCTTTCTATCTCTGGTATCGGATACTGATGGTCTACTACCTGGAGTGCTCTAAAGTTTTATTTACCAACCTGTGCATTTAGGTACAACACAGTAAGTCTGTGTAAATAAGAATTCCGAGTACATAACAGACCAGGTGGTATTCCGATGGAATAAAATACAATAAAACAAGGAGGTGGTGCACGAAAGATCGGAGAGTTTGTAAACACAGATTTGGTGCCTGGCTTCAAGTCTAGACTTGCTAGCTGTGTGACCTAGGGCGAGTCGCTTCCCCTCTCCGAGTCTCAATTTTTTCACATGTGAAATGGAATGATCCTAACTCCTCCAACCCCCTAGAGTAGTCTGAAAGATATACCAGGATGATGTGTAGAAAGAACTTTGCTTGGGGCTGGGGACATAGCTCAGTTGGTAGAGTACTTGCCTTGCACAAAGCCCTGGGTTCAATCCCCAGTACCACAAAAACAAACAAACAAAACCCCTTTGCCTCATTTGCTCTTTCTATTTTGGGACTAAGAGGAAGCCACCGTGTAGCAACCGAGGGGGACCTTGCAACACACTTGGGCTCACAGACTCAGGAGACGTTCGGCTTTAGGAACTTTTATTTGCCTGGGGAAGACCGGGACATGGAGCGGGGGCGGGGGCGGGGGGGCGCGGGAGGGGTGCAGAGCGGACTCACTTGGGGGGCTCGGCGGCCAGCACCGGGAAGCAGCCCTCGCGGTGCCACTGCCTGTCACGCAGGCGGCGCACGGCCTGCATCTGCGGCTGGAAGGCGCCCCACTCGTTCCAGTGGCGGAAGTCGCCGGGCTCCAGGAGGTACTGGTATCCGCGGTAGCCTGGATACTGGTAGCCGACCCAGCTGCGAAGAGGCAGGGGGCAGCATGGAGAGCCGCCACGGTCTCCAGCTGCCCTCAGCCCTGGGGGCCGCTCTTCTGACCTGGCCCCGCCCCTTTCTGCTGTGCGCCCTTAAGCAAGGTCTTCACTTCTCTGATTCGCCTCCATTCCCTCCTCCGGAAAGTGGCCTGTGGCTAGTTTATTGCTCTATGATTTTTTGATTCTGGGGACTGAACCTGCGAGGATGGCCTGAGGCCTGAGCCTAAGCCACTCCATTTTAAAATCTCCAGTTTGACCTGCAGTCTCACCAGGCACACCACAGAGCCCTCCAGGGTGGCCTCCGACAAGTCACTTCCCCTCACCCCCATGAAGACAGTGAAGCCCCGGGCAGGCTGTCCTCGCCTGAGAAGAGGGAAAGGCGAGAAGATCCTGGTGGTGACCACCAGACCAGATGCTTCTGACCCCAGGGTAGTAAATGATGTCCCTGGGAAATCCCGTGGTAGCTGATAAGGATGGAAAGGGGGGTCAAAAAAAACCCTAAAATTTAGTATAAATAATAGAGCAAATGAGCAGGGATCCAGCCAGCCAGAACAAGGACGCACTGGAGCTGGAGAGCCTGATGAGGACCTGACAACCCATCCCTTGTCATCACCTCCTGAGCCTCTGCGTGATCCTCACGGCTCTCAAACTCTACCGCCTTGTCTGGACCTTGGTGAGAGAGCAACTCCTCCCTACGACCCCCTCCTCAACGGGTCGTCCACTCCACACCAGGAAAAGCCTGCCTTGGTTCTGGACCTGATCACGGCGGTCTGAGTGAGTGTGCATCTGCTGGACGGAAAGCCTAAGGCTTAGGACTTTTGAACTTAGCACACAGAGGGAATGTCTGTCACTAGCCTGTCACGATCAAGTGTGTTTTGCAGTGCTTAGAAGTAATCTAGAATTGTTTGCTGTGAATTGATCATGTCTATTGCAGTGCCTAGCATTAAGGATTGTTATTTTCTTGATTAAGAACCTATAGAGTGAAACTGTATTGAGTGATTTGAGTGAATAAAGCATGGACATTCTTTATTTCTCCCCTCGACTGCTTATGTTGCAATTTTGCCCCCTTGCGACAGAACCCAAGGGTGCTTTACTACTGAGCTACATCCCCAACTCTTTTTTTTTTTTTTTTTAAGACAGGGTCTCACTGCGTTGCTTAAGGTCTAAGTTGCTGAGGCTGGCCTCCAACTTGCGATCCTCCTGCCTCAGCCTTCCACTTGTGATTCTCCTGCCTCAGCCTCCGGAACCACTGAGATGACAGGCATAACCATGGCATCTGGCTGCTGGTGCCTGGTTTATGAAGTGTGTTCTGGGGTCAGATGGAAAAGCCACACCTACAGTGTTTGCTAAGCACATTGCCTGTGGGGGGTAAGGAGACTAATACTCATCCACTGGACATGGAAACCCGGGGCTCAGGGAAGAATGGGATTAATATGTGTGGCTAGGGCTTAGGGACTGGTTGCTATTGAGCTGAACAAGAGGGAGAACCTGGTTTCACAAGATGGGTTTCCTTTGTGCCTAAGTGAGGCTGGGAACACACTCTGGAATCCAGACGCGCCAGGGCTCAGATCCTAGCTCTGCCATTGACAGGCTGTGAGAATCCAGGTGCAGATGGCACCGTGCAGGAGGTGGGGGTGGAGACACACCTCCCTCACTGGTTGCTGATGAGGATGTGATAACTACCCATTTAAAGGGGCCGGCCCAGGGCTTACTCCGTGGTAAACACTCTGAAGACTTATTATTATCATTCCTGACTTCCATCATCATGCCTGTGGCCTCTCCTGGACACTGTTCATCTCTCAAGTCTGCTAAAGCTTCAGCCTCTGCACATAAACCCCTGCCCGCCCTCCCCCGCGGCACCTACAGCCCGGTCCCCACAACTGTCCTGCCCCCTCTGACCTCTGGCAGCGCGGGTGCCTTATCTGGGCCCTCTGTTCCTGGCATCTCTGGACACCATCTCACGGGGACCTGGGGTCTCCCCTGCTGGGCAGGGTAAGCTTCCCGAGACAGGAACCGGGCTTTCTTTGCTCCTGTCCCCTGGGCCGTGTCCTACCGCAGTGCCCCCCTCTCTGGAGAGACTCAGTGTATTTCAGGTGGCTTGGGAGACGGGGTTCCATTTTCAGGGAAAAGAAACGAACAAGAAGAAGTTCCCATAGACCACTGTGGGATCTTGGGAAGAATCTGGAGGTGGAGAGGCAGGAGGCTCACATTTGCCAGAGGAGACCAGGGCGCCTGGCCTGATGGCTGGAGGGCAGGGAGATGGAGAAGGTGACCTCTCTGGGCCTTGGCCCTTCCCGGTGTTCTCATGAACATAGGCTCGTGGAGCCCTCTGTTTGGAAATCTTTTTTTTTTTTTTCTTTTTTCTTTTAGTGATGGGGATTGAACTCAGGGGCTCTTGACTCCTGAACCCCATCCCAGCCCTATTCTGTATTTTATTTAGAGACAGGGTCTCTCTAAGTTGCTTAGGGCCTCACTTTTGCTGAGGCTGGCTTTGGACTTGCGATCCTCCTGCCTCAGCCTCCCGAGCCGCCTGGATGACAGGCGGGTGCCACCGTGCCTGGCTTGGAAATCTTTAACACTTGGGACTTTGAAGCAGAAAGTTCCCTTTTAGATGGAAGTCTTGTCTACCCATTGTTCAGGGGGCAAGAGTGACGCTCAGAGAGGAACAGGGGCTCACGGGGACCCTCAGCACATCGGATGGGGGTCAAGACCCTCTCCTGACAGGTTCGCCCCTCTGAGGGGCTTCAGGCTTCCCTGCGGTGCCCTGCCCCCAGGCTGACCTGCACCCACGCCAGCTCTGACCGCCCCCCAGGAGTCCTTTAGTCCCCCTCTGACCCAGCAACGTCCCTTTCTCCATCACCAGCTTTTCAGAACTAATCACCCGACATGGAATCCTTCAAGTCCCTGGGTCCCCCAGGGGAACAGTGCCCTGCTGGCGCCATGGGGCACCCCCTGGGAGTCCAGGGTGGGGCGTGGCCTCCCCAGGAGCCCTGGAGCCCTCTGCGCTGGCCTGGGGCGGGGACCGGAGAAGGTGCTTACGTCCCGCTGGAGACCCTCACGCTGCCCACTCGGTCACAGAAGCCGTAGACCCAGAGGCTGGGCACGTCGTCCTCCTGGATCTCCACGGTGTTGCCCTTGAAGTTGGCCCCTTCAAACAGGCTGATCTTGTGCTCTTGGGAGTCCTGCGGGGGAGAGGCTGGGTCGGCAACACGAAGTAGGGAGGAGCCGAGGGGACCTTTAGTGGGGCCTCCGGGAGTGGAGAGGGAGGACCGAGTCTCCAGAGAACACCGCTACCTGGCCTGGAAGGACCCGCCTTATCTGTGAAAAGGAGCCGTCAGCCCCTGTGACACTGGGTAACACAAAGGTGGCGTGAATCCATCCATGCAAAGCACTGAGCACGATTCTCGGCTTGCGCTAAATGCTCAAAAATGCATTTGTTATTTCTGTTATGGTGATCGAGGGCCCAGAGGCCCAGAGAGGTCAACTTTCTTGATCAAGGACACACAGCCAGTGAAGTGCAAAAGCTTTCAGAGAAATCCATGTCCCTCCGCCGTCAGGAGCTCAGTCAAACGCCCTTTGGTCAGCTGGTTCCTGGAATTACGAATTGACCCTGGAGTCACGGAGGGCACTAGGGGAACACAGGTCTGGGTTCAAATCCCACATCTGATATTTATGTGTTGGGGACCTTGGGCAGTTTACCCAGCCCTTCGGAGCCCCCGTTTGTTCACCTGTAGAATGGACTTACAGTCCTCTCAGGCTGGGACTGGGAATTGTACCTGCTCAACTCAGGGCTCAGCAACAGTGTCAGAGGCCAATCCCTGCGGTGGCCATGTGACTCGGTGCTCACTTCCACTACCTGTCAGTGTTTCCATGACCCTGGATCTTGTTTTTTTAAGCATACTTATTATTTCTTTTTTTTTGATACCAGGATTGAACCCAGGCACGTAACCCCTGATCCACACCCCCAGCCTTTTTTATATTTTATTTAGAGACAGGGTCTCACTGAGTTGCTTAGTGCCTTGCTATTGCTGAGGCTGGCTTTGAACTCAAGATCCTCCTGCCTCAGCCTCCTGAGCTGCTGGGATGACAGATGTGCACTGCGGCGACTGCCTCATACCAGTTAATTCTGAGGGCAGCAATCACCCATCTTTTCAAAAGAGCTCTTCTAGGCCCAAGGGATGAGCTGCTGCCCAGGTGGATGGGCAAGAACAGCAGGAATAGCGCCGACCTCAAGGGTCTCTGATGTCTGCAGAGCCGAGTTTAAGTCCCAGCCTTGTCCCTGACCTGCTCTGTGGCCATAAGCCCTTCATTCTGAGCCTCTTTTTCCTTGGTTTTTGTTTTTTCAAACATGGTTGCTATGCTATGTTTTTTCAAACATGAGGGCTGTTGTGGGAGCTCCAAGAAAGGCAGGCAAAGCACCCAGCATATAGTAGGTGCTCAGTAAACGGATGCTGGGCTGATTCAGTATTATTGGCCGTCGGGAGAAGGTCAGGCTGCAGGAGCATCTCTCTATGAAAGGCTCCGTGAAAGACTGTAGATGAGGGAAGTCAGTTCCCTCTTCCAGAGGGCAGGAAAGGGGCCAGGGAAGGCCCCACCCAAGGGGGACATCGGAGGGGGGCCTTGGCGGTTATATAAGAGTGTGTGAGGTGGAAAAGGAGGAGGCTGAGGCGGAGGAGAAGCAGAGGGGACGGTGGGAGGTGCGCATGCGCGTGGTGGGCGTGTGGAAGGGCAAGTGCTCGCTGTGTGAGTGTGTGGTGTGAGGCAGGGATGGGTCAGCGGCACCATGGAGCCTTGGTGAAAAATGCCTGCAGTGTGGTCACCAGCCCACGGTGGCCACCTTATGGTGACAGCCATTACCTGTCACTGTTACAGACCTGGGGTCCTAGGAAGGTGAAGCCAGCCCACGGCTCCCTGATGCTGGTGAGCCCAAGAACAGACCCCTCAAGACCCGGCCAATCAGAGCCTGCAAGACGGTCCTCTGCTGGAATCCCTCCATCTGCTGCCCCTCGCCACCCCCTCTCTGCTGCAGCCACACGGGCAGTTCCTATTGTCCTGGCCACACCCTGTTCACCCCACTTGCACACGGTACCCCTGGACACTCGGTCCTCTCATGGCCGATGTGGTCCCAACCTTCAGGAGCCAGTTTCCCTGACCGGTCCCAGCCCCCAACATCAGAGCCCCAACTTCCCCCCTTCACCTTCCTCGTGAGGCTGCGTGGCCCGGACAGCACTCGCCGCGGTGCGGGACTACAGACTGATTAAGTTTCCATCAGCCGCCTCTCTTTCTTCTCTTTTAGTACCAGGGATTGAACTCAGGGACACTGAAGCACTGAGCCACATCCCAGCCCTGTTTTGCATTTTATTTAGAGACAGGGTCTCATTGAGTTGCTTAACGCCTTGCTAAGTTGCTGAGGCTGGCTTTGAACTCGCGATCCTCCTGCCTCAGCCTCCCGAGCTGCTTGGATCATAGGCATGTGCCACTGCACCTGGCCACTAGCTGCCTCTTGAGCATAGTGTGAATACCACGGGGACAAGGATCTTGATGTTGTGCCCCTGGGGCCTAGAACAGGACCTGGCCGAAGTAGCCAGGGATTTGGAATTAATTGGTTTGGGTGGGTTTGAGCTGTTGAAGTTTAATTTTAATTTTAATTTTTTTTTTTTAGCCTGGCACAGTGGCGCACACCTGTGGTTTCAAGTGGCTGGGGCAGGAGGATTGCAAGTTCAAAGCCAGCCTCAGCAACTTAGTGAGGTCTTTAGCAACTTATGAATACCCTGTCTATAAATAAAAGTTAAAAATGGGCTGGGGATGTGGCTCAGAGATTAAGCACCTTTGTTCAATTCCTGGTACCAAAAATAATTTTTTAATACTATAATTTATGTAAACAAATATATCTACAAATATTGTAATCATAATAGGTGACCCATATAATATTAACGTGTCTTACACTCTTTAAAAAAATGTTTTACTGTAAATTCAACCCCAGGTTTGTATGATATCCTGACAGCACATCTCCATGCAGAGTGGCCAACTTTTGAGTTTTAACAGCACCAAATGTCAGTGCCACTACCTCAGCCAGCAGACTTCTGGAAGTTTCTGGAAATGCCCTGACCCCTCTTCCAACAAGCTCCCTGGCATAGATGGTCATATAAGGCCATTCAATGACGGGGAGACAAACCTAGGAATTCTTACAAAGAGTCCATTAGGAAGGCTGATAATTCAGCCTCAAGGCTGAGGAAGTCAGGGGAGGCTGTGTCTGGGACTCTGGGAAGGTAAGTGTGGCGGTGCCCAACAGCGGCTCCCCGCACGCGGGCAGCCCAGCCGCCAACCACAGTCATGAAAATTCCTCATGAATTTACCATCGCGAAAGACAAAAGTCAGTTACCTTTGGAGAGGGCTGCCATCGGTGAGGCAGATGGGTGGTTTGGTGACTCACTGTCGACTCAGCGTTCTGCAAATACCACAGTCACGTGGGCTGGCTCCACTTACCGCCTCCGACTCCCATGGCAGGAGGCTGACTACCAGGAAGCCCCGGTGGCCTTTCCACAGGCACCCCTTGTTAGCCACGGCACAACTGTCCACGGGACGTTGGGGATGGCCCTGGGATTTAGAGCTGCCCAGGAGGGTGTAAGGTGGCATCAAGGATATGACAATGCCACCTCCAAAAATCAAGGGAGACACTGAAACCTTTATCTCTCACCGCTGGGAGGCTGATTCCAATCTCCACATGATGAGGAAGACACCTGCTTTTTGCAGGGTTGGGGGTACCAGGATTGAACCCAGCAGCACTCCACCCCTGAGCCCCACCCCCGGCCCTAGTTTGCATTTTATTTAGAAACAGGGTCTCACTGAGTTGCTTAGGGCCTTGCTGTGGCTGAGGCTGGCCTTGAACTCTCGATCCTCCTGCCTCAGCCTCCCGAGCTCTGGGATGACAGGCGTGCGTCACTGTGCCTGGCAAAACACCTGCTTTTGAGGTGGTGTTTGCCTGGGGTTCCTGGGACAAAGCCTGGTGCCCACATTGAGTGCCCGGGTGCTGGACACATGGATGAGCTCAGGAACCCATGGGTGTCTGACAACCCAGGGTCCTCAGGCTTCTCTGTCCACCATTCCTTCTCTCTTTCCCTTGCCAGGTCGCAGGGGGACCTCAGACTTGCCTCTGACCCACGCCACCGAATCCCCAGCCCCTGTGCCGGAGCCCACTCACCATCCTGATGGGCCGGAAAGACATGAGCTGGTCACTCCGGTAGCTGCTGGACCAGGTGTCCCAGCGAGGGTACTCGCCCTTCTCCAGGATGAACATCTCCCCACGGAAGCTGGACTGCTCGAAGGCCACCCAGCTGGATGTGGGAGGGGGAGGGACAGAGAAAAGGTCAGCCCATGCCCTCCCTCTCCTCTGGCAAAGCAGCCCTGAGGCCAAGAGGGACATCCCAGTGGCCTAAGGTGCTTGGGTTCATTCTAGGACACACCCCTTAGGCTCTGTGACGAGGGGCAGGTGGCTGTTCCTCCTCTACACTAAAATACCTATTTTTCAGGACTTGGTAAAGCTGAAATGAGATATCAAGTGTGATTATCTGAGCAAACCTTTTGCAACTGTAAGGTTCACACACGCTTTGAGTATTACAAGGACCTGGGCCCAGTGACCCCAAAGAGAGATCTCATTAAATCCAGGTAACAGCAAAGAGAAAGTCCCTCATGCTAATGAGGCTTTAACAATCACCAGTCTCTCTTTTTGTAAGAAAGGAAAAACAGGTCACCTGCCCAGTCCTGAGCAGGCAAGGGGATCACAGTGACACTTTCCTGCTCCTTGTGATATTTTTTTATGGATACTTTTTAACTTATGATAAGTGATACTAGTTTTCCACTTATAAAAGGACTTCAAAAGTCCTTCTAAAATATATCTATTTGTGTTCAACAAAACCATTTAAAATGAGACATATTAAATAGCTGATAGCCCCGGAGGCGCAGGACTAAGAGGAAAACTGATATGAGTTTCACAGAGACTGGCCCAGCATCCCGGAGATGATGCCCAGGAGCTGGTATGGGGCCGTGGGAGAGGAGGGTGACGTGTGACATGCCATTTGTCCTTTACGAGGACTAATTAGGAATCTGAAGTCCAGTGGGAGCTTTCCCCATCTCTCTGCACATCCTGACTTAGGATGGGAGGTGAGTTTGTGTTGCAGGGGCCAATGGTTCTGGGGAGAAGGCTGAGGGGCGCTGGACCTTTCTATGTGTTTTTAAGTGTTCAGGAGTTCCCAGGGACAAGGGAGGGCTGAGGGGCATGGCCACGGGCATCATCTCCCTGGGGGCTGCTAGTAATCCTGTCCCCAGAAGGATGGCAGTGATGATGTGTCATCTTGGACCAACCCTCAGGTCCTGATCTGAGGGATGAACCACTAAAACTGAAGGGAAAGAGTTGAAAATGTGGGCTTATGTTGGATCTGCCCTAGCTCTGGTCTGGAGTGGAAGGGAAATGGATGGGTGGGTGGATGGATGATGGATAGGTGAAGGATGGGTGATGGGTGGGTGGATGGATGGATGGATGACGGATGGATGGATGGATGATGGGTGGATGGATGATGGATGGTTGATGGATGGATGRATGATGGATGGATGGATGAATGATGAATGAATGATGAATGGTRGATAATGGATGGATGGATGATAGATAGGTGATGGATGGGTGATGGGTGGGTGGATGGATGGATGATGGATGGATGGATGGATGATGGGTGGATGGATGATGGATGGATGGATGGATGATGGATGAAGGATGGATGGGTGGGTGGRTGGATGGATGGMTGGCTGGATAGATGAATGGATAATGGATGGGTGATGGATGAATGGATGATGAATGGATACATGGATGTATGGATGATGGATAAATGGATGGATGGGTGGATGACAGATGGATAGATGGATGATGTATGGGTAGGTGGATAGATGGATAAATAGATTGATGGGTGGATGGATAGATGGATGGGTGAATGAATGGGTGATGGATGAATGAATGATGAATGGATACATGGATGTATGGATGATGGATGGATGGGTGGATGATGGATGGATAGATGGATGATGGATGGGTGGATGGATGGGTAGATGGATAAATAGATGGATGGGTGGATGGATAGATGGATGGGTGAATGGATGGGTGGAGGATGAATGGATGATGGATAGATGGATGGGTGAATAGGTGGATGGATGGATGAATGAATGGATAGATAGATAGATGATGGATGGGTGTATGGGTAGACAGATTGGGTGGATGAACGCATGGATGGATGGATGAATAGACAAGTGGATGACAGAGAATGGCTAGATAATGGGCTGATGGCTGCACGGACTGATCTATAGGTATATGCAAAGAAGAGTGGGAAGGGAAATGGATGGAGACTATACGTCTGGCTGGATGCATGGGCAGAAAGGGAGGGAGGCTTAGAAGAAGGTGCTTGTCAGTGTTAAGAATATAAGATCAGGGGCTGGGGTCATGGCTCAGCGGTAGAGCACTCACCTGGCACGCGTGAGGCCCTGGGTTCGATCCTCAGCACCCCATAAAAATAAATAAATAAATGAAATAAAGGTGTCTACCTACAACTAAAAAAAAAAAAACAACCTTTAAAAGAACAGAGAATCTGGAAACAGACCTGGGTTGTAATCCCAGCTCATGTTTTTCACCCCCTTCTTTTTCAGTTCTGGGGACTGAACCTGGGGTGTTCTACCACTGGGCTACGTCCCCAGCCCTTTTGAAGCAGGAGGATCACCCGTTTCAGGCCAGCCTGGGCAACTTCACCGGACTCAGCTGACCGCTGACTTGCTTGTCATTTGGGCAGTAAAAGAAAGAAAATCTTGTCACTACCTTGTCAGGATGTGAGCTCCTGAATGGCGTGTGTGAAAGATCCGACAGAGTAGTCATAATAAATAGCATCATTTATGATTAAGAGAGAAGGGAAGCGGCCGCAGGTCTGAGCTTAAGGAGAGATCAACACCTTGTGGTGCTGCCACGCTGCTCACCCTCCCCCACATCCCCCGGGGAGGCCTTGTTAGAAGAATGAGGAGTTTTTGTTTATGTTTTTGTTTTGGTGCCAGGGATTGAACCCAGGGGTACCTAACCACTGAGCCACATCCCAGCCCTTTTTACTTTTTATTTTGAGACAGGGCCTCACTAAGTTACTTAGGGCCTTGCTAAGTTTCTAAGGCTGGCCTCGAACTTTCAATCCTCCTGCCTCAGCCTCCCGAGTCGCTGGGATTACAGGCCTGCACCATTGCGCCCGGCAAGAATGGGAAATGTTAAATAGCTACGTCAATGCCTCTTCTCATCCACTATGGCTTCTTTGAGCCAGCAGAGGAAGGGCTGGGAATCTTAGTTCACTGACAGGGAAATGGAGGCTCAGGGGCCACATCTTTAGCGTAAGGTCACACGGCGGGGTCAGATCTCAGGCAGGCACGCCTTCCCTGCCCCGGCCACTCCAACTCCTTCCTTCCTTTTCTCCCACAGGCATGCTGGCCCCAACCCAGCCCTGTGGACCACAGGGCCATGTCTGTCCCCTTTGGGCACAGCCCTGGGCACAGAGCAGACACCAGCTCTGTCTCTGAGGTGAAATACTCTGCGTTTGAGTCACAGCCCCCAAAGCAGCCTGAAACCCCAAGCTGGCCACATCCGGCAGTTTCTGTTCCCAGCTGGGCTTGGGGGCCGGGGTGGGGCTGAGGCTGTTGACCACAGTGGGGGTGGGGTGGGCACAGGAGGCACTCTTGCCCCCCCACCCGCCTCCCTGCAGCCACCTACCTGGGCTTGGGGGAGCTCCCAGGGCCAGGGGTGGGGACCTGCCGCCATGTCTGGATGCCCACACAGTGCTGGCCCCGGTCCGCATCTCCTCCTCCAGGCCCGAGAATGACCCAGGCAAGGCGAGGTGGGCTCATGACTCCCCCCAACTCAGCAATGAGGCGCAGAGGCCACACAAGGCCAAGGACAGAGTTGGACGAGTCTGACCTCAAAACCCATCTCCCAGAAGCTCTCAATGCAGGCTCAACAAGCCCCCTGGGGGGTTGGAGTGGGGAACCAGAGCAGAGGGGCTGCGTGGGATTTGTCCTGGGAATGGCCCAGCACCCTGGCCTCAGCTGACAGTGGCTGGCGCTGGGAGAGCCAGTCCGTCAGAGAGACGGGCATTTCTGCTGTCCGTGGGGGTCATCAAGGCCCAGAGAAGCCAGAGTGAGAACAGGCAGGGGGACCTGATGAAGGATGGACCAACCTGAGTCAAACGCCGACCTGGTGGCCTTGGCCAATGCCCTGAGCCCTTGGGAGCCCCAGTTTAAGTGAGGATAAGAATAGCTCTTCTGGTTGGGCACGGTGGTGCCCGCCTGCCATCCCAGCGGCTGGGGAGGCTGAGGCAGGAGGATCATGAGTTCAAAGCCAGCCTCAGAAACTTAGTGAGGCCCTCAGCAACTCAGCGAGACCCTGTCTCTAAATAAAATACAGAATAGGGCTGGGGATGGGGCTCAGTGGTCAAGTGCCCCTGGGTTCAATCCCTGGTACCCCTTCCGCCTAAAAGAACCACTCTTCTGTCATACTACAAGGGGCGGCCAGCAAGGTAAAGCCCTCCCGCAGTGCCTGACACCTACTGGATACTCTGCTGGTTCTTATTATTATTTCCAGGGCAGCCTGATACCCCTGCAAGGGGACAGTAGTGGACACTTGATTCTTGGCCTCCTCCTGCCCTCAGAATAGGCTCCGATTCCTTCTGCAGTAGAAACAGACTTTGGAACCCAGACGTGACTCACCCTCAGTGTGACCTTATACTAATCAGAGCACCTCTCTGAGCCTCAGTTTCCTCGTCTGTCAAATGGGAAGGAAAAGCTTGTCTCCTCCTGAGGTTTGCAGGGAGGGTGGGAAATCAGAGGGGGCAGTAGCACGGGCCAGGCCCAGAGCGGGAGCCTGGAGAACGTGCTCTTATCATGTCATCGATCTGTGACCACAGACGGCAGAGGGAGCATCCCCACCCTGCCCACACTCACGGTCCAGAGGCGACGATGAGGCTGCGAACTCTTTCAAAGCCACGGTCCCCCAGGTTCAGGCACTCCCCGGAGAACTCCACCCGACGGCCCTGGAAGTTCTCCTGCTCAAAGACCACCAGCTGCAAGAGGGAAGGGGGCAGAGTGAGGTCCAAACCAACCCACCTGGACGGAGGCAGGTGGTGCTCATATCGGAGCAGGGTGTGCACGAGGCCCAGGACAGCGTCAGGAGCCATGCTTCGTGAGATGACCCTGTCTTCCCGCACCCACCCCCACTTAAGATCTGCACCATCATTAGGCACGCCTGGGCCTCCCTTCCAGAACTTTCTTGGTGTGTTCCTCCAGCCTGGGATGCTCTCTACCACACCCCCCATCCTGGAGCACCTACCTGGTGCTGACTCAGGTTCTGGACCAGACAGCATGTTCTGGGTTCAGATGTCGCTTCCTGCAGGAAGCCTTCCTGGATTGCTCCTCCTCCACCCCGGAGTTGGGGCTCCAGTGTCTGCCCCTGTGCTCGCCCCTTAGCAGCACCAGTAACAACACTGCCCAGTCACTGCTGCTTGGGGTTTGGGTCTCTCTGTGTCTCTCTCCCTCTCTTCATCCTTGTCCCCTTTACCCAACCCTTCCAAATGCCAAGGGCTCCTCCACCAAAGGTCTGGGCTGATCTGTCTCTTTTTCCTTTTGGTCCTGGGGATTGAACCCAGGAGGGCTTTACCACTGAGCTATATCCCCATTTTTTTTTCTTTTAAAATTTTGTTTTGTTTTAATTTTGAGACAGAGTCTTGCTAAGGTGCAAAGGCTGGCCTCAAACCCACGATCCTCTTGCCTCAGCCTCCCAAGCTGCTGGGATGACAGATGTGTGCCACTGTGCCCAACCTGATCTGTTTCTCTATCTGCAGCCCCGGATATAGGAAATGCTGGCCAGGCTCCCCTCTACAACCCCGGCGAGAACTCGATCTGACTTTTCCTCACTGAGCCCACCTTTGGGTTTGTCATGCGCTCACCGACCCGAGTCGGGAAGGTGTTGCCCTTCACTTGAGCAGAGGCAGCTTCCTGCCTTCTTGAGCCCCTGAGTCCCCAGCTGTAAAAGAAAGGGGCTCCCGCTGCCTTGACCAGCACTTCAGCTTCCAGGCTGGTCCGTCCATGACAAGGTCTGAGTTAGAGCCCAGGGAGTCAGGGATTAGAGCACCCCAGCCAAGACTGGACGGTGGTGTGTCCCTGTGGTCCCAGCTACTCTGGAGGCTGAGCAGGGAGGATCACGGGAGCCCAGGAGTTTGAGGCCAGCCCGGGCAGCACAGTGAGACCTTGTCAAGCAAACAGCACCTCCCAGCCTCTTTGTTTCCGAACAAGACTGGGGGCCAACCAGGTGTGGGGTTCTTGGCAGGAGGGTGACAGTCATGTCATACAGCAGACCCAAAGGGACAATTGCAGAGATGCTCAACCCTAGGGATCTCACAGTAAGTGACAAGAAAAAAGAAAACGCAGAGAATCACATACTTCAGAGTTCAGTAAATGAAAAGCAAGCCATATTTTTAAAGGAACAATGTATTAAAATATAAGAAAATAACCTTAGGTCAGGTAGAGACTTTCCGCCAAGCCCTGGCCTGCACATGAGTGGTGGGCTTGCAGGTGCTTGCTGCATTGTTAAAAATAAAGTAAGCTGGGCACACGCCTGTCATCCCCGCGGCTCAGGAGGCTGAGGCAGGAGGATCGCAAGTTCGAGGGCAGCCTCAGCAACTTAGCGAGGCCCTAAGAAACTCAGACAGATCCTGTCTCTAATGAAACATGAAAAGGGCTGGGGTGTGGCTCAGTGGTTAAGAGCCCCTGGGTTCAATCTCTGGCACAAAAACAAACAAACAAACAAACAAATAAAGTAAAATTAATGATTGAATAAACCTACATAAATAATGGTCAGCCATATCATGAATCAAGGGTGGTCAGCTCTGGCCCCCAGGTCCAAACCAAATCCAGGCTCCCCAGGACCCATCTCCAGGAGGCCCCCTGCTGCCCGGGTGACTCTCCAGGGACAGGCCCCTCTCCCTTTTCTGCTCGTGGCTTTTGACTCGCTCTGAGCAGGCTCTGTGCAGGCTGACCGCACGGCCATGGTCCCTGTCGGGGGACGTGGCACATTTCAGTTGTCATGTCACAGCGCCTCGATGGGTCCCTTCTTTCCAGGTGCACTGAGACCCCTGACCATTTTCCTGGCCTCTAGATGGGGCACATTTGTGTCTGGGCAGGAGGAGGCACCTCAGGAGAGACGGAGGAGGGACAGGAAGGGCGGGAAACAGGAACAGGGGAAAGGAGAGGGGTAAGGAGGGAAATGAGGAGGAGAGAGGAGGGGGGAGGAGGGCCGCACAGGAAGGGGACAGCGGGGGCACCGAGCCGGCCAGCCCAGCCGGGTCCTTACCCTGTAGCTCCCAGGAGGCAGGTCCCCTGCTTTGGCCGTGGGCACGGGCACGGGCACGGTTGCCGGGGCCAGGGCCGGACCAGGGCCGGGGGCTGGTCCTGTGGGCGGGGTCCCCTTCCCCTTGCCGTCGGGCCCTGGGTTCACGGCGGCGGTGGCCGAGGCCTTGGTGGGCTGAGACATGGCTCCTCCTGCAAAACCCAGAGAGCATGCTTTGGCCTCCACAAATCCAGGTGTGGCACCCCAAGCTGTCTCCCACGCTCCTACCCCTCGCTGTGTCTTCAGCCACCTTTGAACCCGTTGCCTCTCTTTCTCCTTGGAAACGTGCGCCTTGGAGTTTTTTTTGTCCCTCCCCCTTTTTTTGGTCCCAGGGATTGAACTCAGGGGCCCTCGACCACGGAGCCCCACCCCCAGCCCTATTCTGTATTTTATTTAGAGACAGGGTCTCACTGAGTTGCTTAGGGCCTGGCTTTGGCTGAGGCTGGCTTTGAACTCGAGATCCTCCTGCCTCAGCCTCCTGAGCTGCTGGGCCCACTGCACCCGGTGGCCCATTGGCTATTCCCCAGCCAAGCCTTTCCCGCCTGGGCTCCCTCCCTGTCCTGCATCTTTCCTCCAGGCCTTCGACCAGGCTGTCCCCTCCACTGGCCATGCCCTTCCCTCTATCGCCTCCCTTCCAGCCTCACTGGCCCCCCGCAGATCCTCACACACTTAGCACACTTATTTGCGTGTGCAATCTCAGTTCACCTCACCAGAGGAAGAGAAGGAGAAATGGCATCTGGGGATTCTTAAGGAATCCCAGGCACACGCCCCATCCCCCTGGAGAATCCAGGATCCTTCTCTCGGAGCCCCCTGAGGCCACAGAGGAAGGTGCCCTGCCCGGGGCCACGAGGCAGGAGGGCTCCACTTTCAACTCGAGCAGCTGGACCTGGCCCTGGGCTGCTCACGCCCTGCCCTTCGCTCGCTCTGCTCTAGTCCCCCTCTCTTCCCCGCTCAGCTCTGTGCCCAGCACACGGGACATTCCTAGTGAACATCTGTTCAGAGGACGGGGGCTCCCGTGTCCCCCCCCAGGCTTCTCCCTTGGCGTTCTCTGGGGCAGGTGTGTGGGTGCCAAAGCAGGCCTGGCCCTGGGCCCCCGAGGCCCAAGAGGAAGGATGGTGCCCGTCCAGGGTTCTAAAACGAGGACGTGGCTGGGGAGGCGCTGGGTGGGGAGGGCTTTGGTTAATTCCAGTGGTTCCTCATGGCAGGGGGACATGGACTCTTTTGAGTCTGTGACAGAGGCCTTGACGGTCCCTGAGGAGGCAGGGAGGGGTGCTCCCTTCAATTTTGCAGATAATTGAAGGACCCCCGAGGGCACAGAAGACCCTGGGGCCCAGCTGCTTGCTGGGCTCTCTGTGGGGGGTGGGTAGGTCCCTCCCCAGCCTCCCCGCCTCCAGGAAGACTGTGGCCACTCTGGGACGCTCGGCCACGCTGCGGGACAGACATCTGGGCCACATCTGGGACTCGCAGCCCTCCCTGCCCCCGTTCTGTGGCAAGCTCCCCTCCCCCGGGGCTGGATTCCTCCTTTCCTGTCCGCGGTTCCATTCTGCCTCCCTCTCCTCCTCCTTCTCTCTTCCTGTTTCTTGCTGTTGGTCTCCATCTTTGCTTCTCCCCCTCTCTCCTGTCCTTCTGTCTGTCTGTCCTGTCTGTCTCTCCCTGCGCCCCCTTCCCTCTTGGTCCGTCTGCCCAGCCCCCTGCCTTTCCTGTCACTCTCTGCTCACGAGTTCTGTGTCTCTTCCCCCTCTGACCCATCCCCTCTCTCATCTTGGTGGTCCCGCCTGGCCCTCGGGGCCACCCGCGGCTCTCCGGCCTCCCCTCGTCCCCTCCCCTCAGCTCTTGGTGGCTTCCTTCTTACCTGGGGACTTGCCACTTCCTGGTGGAGGACAGGCGTGTGCTGTGGGTGACTAGGGCCGACCCCCCATTTTATAATCTGGCAGACACTGGGCCCTATAGTCTGGGGCACAAAGCGGGAGCTGGCTCAGCAGCCGGAGCGGGGCCTGGCCGGGGCCAGCCCTGGCCGGGTCACTGCAGAGACCAGCACTTTCCATTGTGACCCCGAGCGCACAGCAGAAACCCTGGTCCGCAGCTCTCCACCTCCTTGTCCACGGCCCCCACCAGGGATGGGCCCCCAGGTCCCCACGGCCGTCCCCGGGGCCAGGGAACAGGAGAGACCCTGGCAGCAGGAGACCTGGGTGAGCGTCCTGGCTCAGCCATGATGCTCTGCGTGGTTTGGGGACAGTCTGTCCTCAGGGGCCTCCGTGTCTGCGGTCATGGGTGAGCACCAGTGTCCTTAATGGAGCTGCACCCAGCAGAAGGCCTGTGACACTGAGCACAGGCCGGTGCACTGCCCAGAGCCTTCCCTGTGCTAAGCACGGTGCCCAGTGCTTGGCCGCTGTCCCCTGTGCCCGTCTCCAGGACAACCTGCCTCACCGGGCCCTTCCATCCCACCATTTCAAAGACGAGGAAAGCCAGACGGGGAGCCCAGGCCAGTGCAGGCCGCCGCTGGGCCTGGTGCTCTCGCTGTCTGACCTTGACCTTGGCCTTGGCCTCAGCTGCAGCCTGACTTCCTGATCCTAGGTGGGAAGCCAGGCCTTGTTGGGCTCAGGTAGGCTGGACGTTGGGGACCGCCTCCTGCTCTTCTGCCCACATAGAGACCCCTCCTTTCCTGGCCTGCCTCTGTGAACCCCGGGTCTCAACCCTCAGATGCCAGGGACAGAGCTGGTGGCCTACGCCTCCATCCGAGAAGCCCCAGGTTTAGCCACATGCTGGTCACCTCTGGCACCTGCTGTGGGGCCTGGCCTGCAGAGGGCTCTGTGTCAAGATCTGGTGACTGAATGGTTGTTGGAATGGACCATGATGAAAGTGGGGTGCCAAGTGGGGGGACCCAGATCAGGAGAGGGAAGAGTGAAGAACACTAGCCAGGGACACGAGGGGACTGAGAGACAAAGGGCCCCGATTCAAGTAGGGCAGCAAAGACTCCCAACAGGGTGGCCGGTGACAGAAGCCGAGTGGCCTAACTCCCTCATTCCCAAGTGGAGAAACTGAGGCAGGCCTGGAGCAAGAGGCTGGGTGTTCTTCCTGCCATGTGCACTCTCTCCGCGGGGGTCAGAGGGGCGGGAGAGCTGTCCAGCCAGGGTGGGGTGGGTGGCGTATCGGGTCTCCACACGGTGCTGCCGCTTCTCTGGGGGTCCAGGGTGGCCCTGGCCTGGGGCCAGCTCTGCCACCGCAGCCCCTGCCCCCTCCCCCACTCTGCAGCCTTTCATTGCGGGCCAAGGCCAGGGTGGCCAAGGCCGGGGTGGCCGAGGCGGAACCACAGAGGGGACAGCTGCTGGACCGCAGCCGAGAGACGCGGTGGGGCCACCCACAGGTCCGCGCTGCTGGCCAGGCCGTCTCGAGGAGTTCCATGCCCCCTTGGCCAGGTGCCATCCCAGAGGGCGGGGGCGGGGACAAGGGACAGTGGCCTTGCTGGGCACCTCCACTCTGGGCCTTCCACAGCCTGGGTGCCTGTCATCCTCACTAGGAGGGTGGAGTCTCTGGGATGGACCCCACGGATGGACAGACGGGAAATGGAGGCGACCCCTGTCCACCACGCACCTGCTTCCCCGCCCCCTGGGGGATCCCAGCTGGCCTCTCGGATTGCCGGCCTCTGAGCTCTCAGAAGCTAAGTGTGCTCCTGCTCTTCACGGGTAATTATTTAATAAGCACCTTTACTATTAGTGATGACGATGACAAAGATGGTGGGAGTGACACACGCTGTGCACCAGTGATTCACACAAGAACTGCATCCTCACCACACCCCTCTCAGGCGACACCCCTTCAACCTGTTGCACTCATTTTATGCACAAAGAACATGAGGTTGCAGTCTTTTTTTTTTGTACTGGGGATTGAACCCAGGGGCACTTAACCACTGAGCCACATCCCCAGACCTTTTTTATATTATATTTTATTTAGAGACAGGGCCTTGATAAGTGGCTGAGGCTGGCCTTGAACTTACGATCCTCCTGCCTCAGCCTCCGGAGCCCTTGGAATCACTGGTGAGCCCCACTGCGCCCAGCTGAGCCTGCAGTCTTAACTTTTATTTTTCTTTCCTCCAAGTAATGCGTAGGATGGGGTTGCTTTAACCCCTCCAGGAAGCGGTGGATGTTGCCATTCTGCGGGCCCCAGCAGGGCTCAGGTATCCTCTAGGGGGCCCAGATGGCAAGAGCAGGCCTGGGTTTCACCCTGAGCGACGTGACTCCCAGCCACGCTCTTTCCTCCCTCTCTGGGAGGTAGAAGGCAGGGTGTGGGGGGGATGTCCGCGGGGAATTCTGCCCCCTGGGTGCGGCAGGTGCTACGCCTGTGGAGCATGTTCATAACCATCGGCTCCTGGCTCCTGCCTGTAGAGTCGTCTGGGGCTCTGGCCAGACCTCGGCCTCGCTCACTCCCTCTGGGACCTCTGTGCTGGGCCACCAGCTCTAAGTTCCCACCTTTGTACGCCAGCTCTTCATGCCCCTCTTTCCATCTGACCCTGTGCGAATCCTCTCCACACTTCCCAGAATGCCACCTCCAACACGCAGCCTGCCCTGATTGCTCCACTGGAAGTCAAACACGGATGGGAAGGGGAAAGGAACAGACATCCATCAATGCTTATGGGGCACCGGGCAAGAAGGTGCGCAGCCTCATGGCCCACAGATGGAGTTTATTTCCATCCCATTTTATAGGTACAACTGGAGGGGAAATGACCTACTCAAGGTCACACAGCTGGCCATGCTTTGGGGCTCCCCGGCCAGTTGCTCGGACTCCTGCCCCGCTCAGGGGCCCCGTGGGGCTGATTCAGGCAGACCTTGCACCGCTCCCCTGCCCCATGCCCGTCTCTGGGGGAGGTGACCTGATCTGTCCCCTCCCAGCTGAACCCAGAGCTGCTGACACCTCTCACTGGGGCTGTGGCCAGCGCTGGCTTTTGTTTCGAGGGCTCATTGCTGAGTCGGGGCTTTGTCCCCCAGGGGCCCTCTCTCCCCTCCCTGCCTATAAGAGCTTGACCTTGACTGGTCCCAGTTCTGACATGTTCTCTGGGCCCATCTCGGTAAGTCCCCTTGGAGAAGGGGTGGGATTGGGGCTCCTGTCGAGCACCCTGGGAGGTGGGGAGCCCAGGTCCCCAACCCTGCAGATGCCACTGCGTCATCCCAAGTGCCGTCCTCTTCCTGACCAAGAAAGGGCGCCCCAAACGCCCAGACGGGCTCCCGAGACCCTCACTAAGAACACAGTGATGCCCAAGGCTCCCACCCGCTGGCCGCCACAGAGACTTTCCCCCAGTTAGCAGATGAGAGGCGCAGAGCAGGGCTCAGAGGCTGCGGGACCCAGAGGGGTGAGGGCACAAGGTCACCCTGTTCTTCTCCTGCCTAGGAAGGGGGCAGCATGACCCTGCAGTGCACCAAGTCGGCGGGACACTGGAAGGTAGGGAGGGGGCCCGGGCCAGGGTGGGAGGACACAGGTCAAGCCCCAGTCCCTGGGACCCCGTTCCTAGCTCACTGAGCCCCCACCTCACTTGGGGGAGGGGTCTGAATGCCCATCTCACAGAGGACACAACCAAGGCTCAGAGAACAGGACCCGCAAGGTCACGCAGAGAGATTGAACTTGAACTTGGGTCACCTGGTTTCCAAACTTGAACTGCCACCGTCTTTGGCTGCCATTAGGGTCGTCACTGCCCTCTGGATGAGGCAGCTTTGTGGGCCACCATCATCTAAACATGTCCCTCTTGGGCACAAACTGAAAGCCAACATCATGTACCAAAAATAGGTGGCCACTGTAAAAACACAATAAAAATGTGATTAATTTTTAGCTGAATACTGTTGCCTGAGAGACTACGGGCGATCTCTTTTTGGAGAGATAAAGAAAGAGATTAGTAGCTGGGTGCGGTTTGCACACCTGTAATCTCAGGGGCTCAGGAGGCTGAGGCAGGAGGATTGCGAGGTCAAAGCCAGCCTCAGCAATAGTGAGGCCCTGAGCAACTCAGTGAGATTCTGTCTCTAATTAAAATGCAAAATAGGGCTGGGGATGGGGCTCAGTGGCTGAGTGCCCCGAGTTCAATTTCTGGTACCAAAAGAAAAGAAAAAAAAAGATTAGTGAACTGTGGGGAGGGGCACGGGGGACACAGTGATAACAGCACTAAGACCTAGGCCAGCGCCATTTAGTCACATGGTTTTCTATCCGGATTTCTTTGATCTGTCTATGTTGAGGGGGAAGAAAAGCACCATTTTAAGAACTTGGAGGTCCCTCATGAAAGTTCAGATTTGGAGAATGTCTTGAGACGCTTCCACCGGGCAGAGGTCCCGGGTGCTAGACAGAAGCCACTGTTCCGGGGCCTGTGCTCTCAGGGCCCTCACCTCCCTTACGGGCCTGGCCCTGGAGGCCCTGGGGAGTCCCGGTTGGCAAACCCCCTTTCACCTGCTTTGCTGGACTCTGGGTCCTGGGGACGCCCCCAACACCCTGCCCCACAGGATTCTGATGTCCGCCCATGTCCACCTTCTCTCTGGCACAGATGGTGGTGTGGGACGAGGAGGGCTTCCAGGGCCGGCGGCATGAGTTCACGGCCGAATGCCCCAGCGTGCTGGAGCTGGGTTTTGAGACCGTGAGATCCTTGAAAGTCCTGAGTGGAGCGTGAGTCTGCAGGGAGACTGAGTCGGGGTTAGGGTGGGGGACCAAAAGGGACCTAGAGGGGGGAGCTGGGACTTTTACATGTTGTCAGTCCTGTCTTCCCAGGCTCTAACTGTACCTGTGTCCTCTAGTGTAGTGCTGAGGAGGGTGCAGGGTTGCCATGTAAGGTTGTGCAAATTGTGCACTGCCCAACTACAGGGCTGCCTTTAAGGTAGTCACTGCCCACTGGATGAGCCAACTTTGTGGGACACCATCCTTAGAAATGAATGTTGAGTCTAGAAATGTCCCTCTTGGGCATAAATGGAAAGCCAACACCACTTACCCAAAATAGGCAGTAGCTATAAAAATACAGTGAAAAGTGTTACTAATTTTAAACTAAATACTACTGCATGAAAGACTGCGTGTGATCTCTTTTCAGAGAGATAAAGACACTAGTGAGTGGGAGGAGGGGCGGACACAGCAATAACATACTGAGACTTTGTAGACCAGCGTCATTTAGTAGTCTTTTCTGCTACCGTGAAGTTCTACATCTGCACTGTCCAAGTTCAAGGTCACTGGCCACATGTGACCGCTGAGGATTTCAAATGTGGATAGTATAGCAAAATGTGGTGGTGCATGCTTGTAATCCCAGCGGCTCAGGAGGCTGAGGCAGGAGGATCGAGAATTCAAAGCCAGCCTCATCAAAGTGAGGCCCTAAGCAACTCAGTGAGACCCTGTCTCTAAATAAAACATAGAATGGGGCTGGGGAAGGGGCTCAGTGGTCAAGTGTCCCTGAGTTCAATTCCTGGTACCCCCCCACCCCCCAGGTGCCTCTCTGGGTTGGGGTCACCTTTGGAAGCGGTCATTTAGGCTGAGCCCTTTGGTTATTGCTGGGACGAGGCTCCCATCCACTGGTTGAATTATTTTATTTTAGTTAATTTCATTTATTGAATTCAAATTTAATCAGCTGCCTGCTGCCAGTGGCTATCATAGTGGCTAGAAGGTTCTAGAGGGTTGGAAAGTGCACTGGAAGGAGAACAAGGTCTGCATGTGAGTCCCTTAAAGCTATGCCTGTGAGTGACACCTGAGGTCACCTGGGGGGATCTGTGTCCTAGCTTCTGCTTCCTGCAACTGGGGAAATGGAGCCCGGGTAGGGGAGGCCAGGAACCCGGCAGGTCCACCCCTTTATCTTCTATGCAGACAGGAGACGCAGGTGCACCGGTGCCTGCCTCCTGTGCCTCTCTTTCCCTAGGGGAACACAAAACTGAAGGGGCCACATGGCAGGCCACTAGGGCAGCAGCACCTGGTAGCTGAGGAGCCGCTCCAGGCTCAGAGACGGGGTGGTGGAGAGAGGCCCCCCTTGCCAGGTCCCGCAGGGTCACAGGAATCCCGCTGAGGCCCCGCAGCCTGTGGTCAGCCTGGCACATTCCCAGAGCCCCTTGCGTGGAGCAGTCCCTCCCTGCGGGACACAGGTGGCCGCTGGTGTTGGGGGCCCAGCGGTCCCCTGGTGGGCACTGAGCTGGGTGTGGTGGGGGGTCTCGCAGCGACCCAGCCTCTGCTCCGCCACCGTCGCAGCCCCTCCCTCCCCGAGGGGAGCCACCCCAACTGTGTCCAGGCCCTGCCGAGAGTTAAGGGTGGCCCTCCCTCCGTGTGCCCGCAGGTGGGTGGGCTTTGAGCACGCCGGCTTCCAGGGGCAGCAGTACGTGCTGGAGCGCGGCGAGTACCCGGGCTGGGACGCCTGGAGCGGGAACACGGCCTACCCCGCCGAGAGGCTCACCTCCTTCCGGCCCGTGGCCTGCGCTGTGAGTCCTACCGCCGGGCCCGGGAGGCTTGGGCCTTTCCAGGGGGCGCTGGGCATCAGCCACCGTGGGAATCAGGGTGCATGACGTGGGCCGTCTCTTTCCTCTCTGACCCTCAGTTTCTTCTTCTTGAAATGAGGTCCCAGTCCCCATGTCCTGGGGAACCAGGACACAGACCCCGCCAGCTACTGTCCACTTATAGCAGCTTTGGTTAGGATGTCAGCACCTGTGGACCCCTGTCCCTCTCTTCATGACTGGGCAGAAGGTGGATGCAGGGAGGCAGGTCCCGGTGGGCAGGAGGGGTACCATGCCTCTCTCCCAACTCATCGTGCCCTTCCGACTTTATATTTTACTGCCCTTATGGGGTACGGGTGGATGTGGGTTCCTTTACTCCATTTTACAGATGAGAAAAACTGAGGCTCAGAAAGCTATGTTTTATTTTATTTTCACCTTATTTATTATTCATAATTCGGGGCGGGGGGAACCTGATATGTTAGAATAAGAAAGTAAGTTGCTAATAATTATAGCTATGAGACAGGAGCCTGCTTCATAGTACAGGAGATGCTTTCTGTTCTGGTTGGTGATTGACAGATGACATCATGCTATTCTTGTACCCATTCCTATATCTGTGTCTACCTATATCATCAATGTATAGTTAGGTACACGTATTTTTGTTATATAAGTGAAATTATAGGAGCTGGGGATGTGGTTCAGTGGTAGAGCACATGTTTAGCATGTGGAGGCCCTGGGTTCCACACTCAGAACCACAAAAATAAAAAAAAAAAAAATGAGTCATAATGAACTTCAGGCCTGGATACCTGCTTTTTCCACTGGGCAAGTATATTACAATCATCCTTCTGGAAAGTTATATCTCATCTATGATGTCATTTTTCATGGCTTTCTAGTATTCCATGCTATGGCTAAGAAGTCCATTGGCTCCTTTGTTCTACAAATAACCAAGGTGCTGAGCATGTGCAGGGTCCTGTATCAGGCTGTCATGGGTCCAATCACTAGTTCCATGCTCATCCCTCTAGCCCAGAAAATGACCCTGAAAAGTAGGTGCGGTTGGTTCTGTTTCATAATTATGAAAATGAAGGCTCAGAAACACCATATGACAGGTCTAAGCTCGCCATCTGGTAAGTGGCAGAGTCAAGACTGAAACTCAGAGAGGTTCTCGTCTTTTCTGTAACCCCAGGTGCAACACCAGATTAACATCTGATCCCCTAATGTTGGACATTCAGATTGTTTTCCCCCCTTTTTTATGATGAACATTCTTTTTTTCTATGATTTTTTTTTTTTGTGTGTGTGGAAATTTCTGGAAGGATAAATTCTGGAAGCACAAATGATGTATATCTTATAAGGTTCCTGGTACCTCCTGCCTTAATGCCCTTCCAAAGTTTGCTAAGAAGGCTGAGCTGGGAGACTGGGGCAGGCTGTGGTAAGGGCAGAGGCTCCCGGGTTTCCAGCGGGCTACCAGAAGATCTGACCCTGTTCTCTGTGCCTGTAGAACCACCGCGACTCCAGGCTGACCATCTTTGAGCAAGAGAACTTCCTGGGCAGGAAAGGAGAGCTGAGTGATGACTATCCCTCCCTCCAGGCCATGGGCTGGGACGGCAATGAAGTGGGCTCCTTCCATGTCCACTCTGGGGCGTAAGTGTGTCCAAGGCTCCTTGTAGCAGGGCAGAGAGAGGATGTTGGGAGGGGTGTGACACTTCCTGTGAAAACTATGTGCTGGGGGCTGATGCATACTCCAGAGGAGAATACCGAGGCACAGGAGGTATCAGGAAGGATGTATGGGATTGCAGATGATGGAAACCCAGACCAAACTTCTTTTGTATGTGTGTGTGTGGGGGATTAAACTCAGGGCACTCGACCACTGAGCCCCATCCCCAACCCTATGGACAGGGTCTGGTTGAGTTGCTTAGGGCCTCCTTGTTGCTGAGGCTGGCTTTGAACTCACCATCCTCCTGCCTCAGCCTCGCGAGCAGCTGGGATGACAGGCATGCGCCACTGCACCAAGCTTCTTTAAACCCAAAGAATGTTCACTGGCCCCCGTAATTAGCTTCAGGCACTGCTGGAGGATGGAGCTGCCTTCTGGCTCCTGCTCTGCCTGCCTCCGAGTGGCTGTATTCTCGGATGAGTGCCTCCCAAGTAAAGGCAAAAGTGGCAGCTGGGTCCTTAAGTACCAGCCCCAGGGAAAGAGAGGGTCCTTTTCTCAATGATGATACCATCGAAGTCCAGGAAAGACGCTCATTGGTCCAACTTAGGTCATGTGGTCCCTTCTGGACCAATCACAATGCTTACAAGAATGGGATGCACTGATTGGCTAGGCTGGGTCACATGCTCATCCCTGAGGTCAGCTCCATTTTCCCAGGTTGACTGCGAAGGCTCCCTGCGGTTCTTGAGTCTTATTCGAGTCTCTTTCAGAGAGAAAAACAGGGCTCAAAAGCAGACACCAATCCTTGTCCCGAATAACATAGGGATCAGCGAGTTGAAACATAGCCATTTTCTCTAAAGTGCCTCCTGGGAAGAGAGGAGGGATCAGGGCTTCTTCTTCACTCATTCATTTGCCGAATATTGATGGGGCTCCTCCTCTGTGCCAGGCGTTCGGCTGGGCCCTGGGGGACAGTGAGCCACACACGTCCCTAACCAGGAGGCTGCCTGCTGGCGGGGAAGCTGACATTTTACAAATGATCTTCAAATTATCAAATTATACGAATGCTTCGAAGATACAGTCAGGGACCGTGGCCTGATTCGGGACTGGGTCAGATGGCCCTGATGACGTAATGAATTATACTGGGACCTGAAGGGACACAAAACTGGGCCAGGCGAAGAATCGCTGGGAGGATGTTCCCGGCGGAAGAAACGGCACGATCAAAGGCCCAGCGCCGTGTGTGTGTGTGTGTGTGTGTGTGTGTGTGTGTGTGTGTATGTGTGTGCGCACGCGTGGCACATCCAGGGCCATGAAGGCCGGGGACCGCTGGGCCGTCGGGAGTCTCTCCCATCCTTTCCTGACCAGGGTGGGTGCCTCTGTAGGGTGACCGTCTCTTTCCTTTCCTAGATGGGTTTGCTCTCAGTTTCCCGGATACCGAGGTTTCCAGTATGTGCTGGAGAGTGATCACCACTCGGGTGACTACAAGCATTTCCGGGAGTGGGGCTCCCACGCCCAGACCTTCCAGGTGCAGAGCATTCGCAGGATCCAGCAGTGAGCTGCGCGGAGGAGCGCATGCGCGCGTGTCTGTGATGGCCTAGCTCTGGTCGCTGCCACCACCTCTGCTTCTGCCTCCCCTCGCAACCCCGCCAACCCGGCGCCCGTGTCCGCCAGTCCATGCACAGCACAGAAAACTCAAAGTAATAAAAAAAAGAAAAGAAGGTCTGGTGTTAGCTGTGCTTGTCAATTTTACTGATCTCAAAGAACCAAGTTTTAGCTTGATTCATTTTCTCAGTGATTGGTCTGTGCTTTTTTGTCTGTGCCTTTCTATTTTTTTTAAATTTTGAGACAGGGTCTTGCTAAATTCCCAAGGCTGGCTTGAACTTGCCATCCTCCTGCCTCAGCCTCCCAGATAGCAGGGATTACAGGCATGCACCACCATGCCTGGCTACAGGTGTGTTATCTAAGTTCCAAATACTATTAGAATTTTCTAGATACTTTATTTTTATTTAATTTTTCAAATAGAGCTGGGGTTTGAACCTAGGGCCTTGTGTCTACTGGGCAAGTGTCTACGATTGAGCTAAACCCCAGTCCTATTTTTGTTAACTTAAAACAAATCCACTGTGGTCCGAGAACATGTTCTATGAGGTCTCAGTCTTTTGAAATGTACTGAGACTTATTTTGTGACTGAGTATGTAGTCTATCTTTATGGACTAAGAGGAGAGCTTGAACACTATGTTCTGTTGTGAGTCGGTGTTTTTCCAATGCCAGTCAGGTCAAGTTGGTTGGCAGTGTTGGTTAGATTTTTCTAGATTTCTAAAGATTGCTCTTTGTCAATCATGCAGGGAGAGCCATTCATGTCTCCCACTAGGGTTGGGATTGATCTCCTTTACCATTGTCCATTTTTCCTACTTTTTTCTTCAAGAATTTTGAAGCTCCCTTGTTAGGTGGACATTTATTGACGATGGCTATCTTCCCCACAGATCATTCCTAACGTGGTTTGCAAAGCCACACAGGCAGGAAGCCACCTGTCTCCCACATGGCAAAGCCTCTAATGCCCCTTTTCTTCTCTCCAGTTCTCTTACATAGAACATCTAGTAGTACCTCATTTAACACCCTTGGCCTTCTGAAGAAAGCCCATAAAACAAAGAAAGTCCTGCTGGGTGCTATGATGCACGCCTGTAATCCCACAATTTGGGAGGCTGAGGCAGGAGGATCGAAAGTTCAAGGCCAGCCTCAGCAATTGAGTGAGGCCCTAAGCAAGTCATCAAGACCCTGTCTCAAAATAAAAATAAAAAATAAATAAAATAAAAAGGTCTAGGGATGTGCCTCAGTGGTTGAGTGCCCTTAGGTTCAATCCCTGGTACCAAAAAAAAAAAAAAAAAAAAACCCAATTTAAAAAAACCAAGTCCCGGGCTGGGGTTGTAGCTCAGTGGTAGAGTGATTGCCTAGCATGGGTGACGCATTGTGTTTGGTTCTCAGCACCACATTCAAATAAATAAATGTCCATCAACAGCTAAAAAAAAAAAAATATATATATATGTATTAAAAAAACCCCAACAAAACCCAAGTTCCACTTTGCTTGCAGCCTGAGAGTTTCTCTCGCCCTCTTTCTTCTCTGCCCACCCCCCTTGTTCTTTGCTTTTTCTTTTTTATATGAATTATCTAAACCTGGCTCTTTTTCCTGGATCCCTGGGGCCCATCTTCCTCTACCCACAAATGTCCCTAATCTGTTGAGAGGGACAGGAAAGGGTGGGAATCTGAAGAGTGCAGGAAAAGATAACATGTGCTGGCTCAGGAAGGGGAGGCGAGAGTTTAGAAATACTTATATTCAGGAATTTTTAAGCTGCCTGTCATCATCCCCTGCAGCCCTAGGTGGTCTTCTATAAAGAGGACCGTCCCCAGGGAGCCGTGCAGGAGATAAGACAGTGTGAGGACCCCACAAGAAAGGGGCCATCTGGGAGCTGCCGGGGTCAGCGGCCTCTGCTCAGAACTTAGGATCTTAGACCTTCAGGCCCAGGGCTGGGAGGAAGTCAGCTCCGAGGTTTGGGGAGGGGGCGCTCAGGTGGGGGAGGCCCTGGGAAACCGGGGGAGATGGGACACACAGAGTCCTTTTCCTGGCCCAGTTTGTTGGGGCCAGAGGAGGGGAGATGGCAGGGGAGATGGCAGGACTGGACGGGTGATAAGGAGAGGGCGGGGGTGGGGACAGGCCCTCCTTGGTACTGGCCTCTGCTCAGACCCCCCCCTGGGACTCAGTCCCTGGACGCTGGGCCACCCTCCTGACACCTCCACATGAGACCACATACAAGTCAACCAGAACGCATCCCAAACTCCACTTTTGGAATGCACCAGGCCTGGGGGCCTGGGGGCCTGGGCGCCTGGGGGCCGAGAACTTGCCCAGCCTGTAGGAGGCTAAAACAGCCTCAGAGCCCAGTTGCTATCACCCTCTCCACTGGCGCTGCACTGGTCCAAGCACCCCTTTGGGTTTTCCCTGCGTCCACCTCTGCCCTTACCTGTTCCCATCTCCACTTAGCAGCCAGGGTGCTCTGGTTACTAATGCAAGGAAGATCTGGTCGCTTCCGCTCAGAACCTTCCCAGACTCCCTCTCCTGTTCCAAGAGAAAAACAGACACAACTTTTCCCTCTCATCTGTCTTGCCCGGGGCAACTCCAACCTCAGGCCCCTAGGTTGGCCCTTCTTTGAATGTGCCAGGTGTGTGAATCAGCTCTTCACAGATGCCACAGCCTGGGGGGCTTAAACCACAGAGCTGACTTCCTCCTGCACCACCTCCCTGGTGACTCGTCCTCGATATAGACCACCTCTTGGATCAGATTAGGATTCCAAAGGTCCCATTTGTACCCTACCTCTTGACCTAGAACACCACTGATAATACTGTGTTCACCTCTTTCACATTCGATATAATTTAAATCTCACAGCAACTCCTTGACGTCATTATAGTCTCTTTAAAACCCAACAGAAATTTAAGGCTCAGAGAGGTGAAGCAACTTGTCTGAGGCCACCCAGCTTTGTAAGAGCATTTAGCCTACAACCGGTTGTTCAAGATTTGGGGAGTGTATTAAAGAGATAATGGTAGTTTGAGGTTTACAAATAGAAAGTTGCTGAGTTCATGTCTTCCCTTAAAAGAGTTAAGAAAGCAGCCCCTCGGGTTTTGGTATGAAGAATGGCACAGCTTCTTATCCACCATCGGAATGTGTCCCTGGGGGCTAAGCAGGGAGCATTCGCTGAAGGAAGGAAAGAACCTCACTGGAATTTGATGGTGGCTCCGTGATGAGCCAGCTCCGGCCAGAGCCAAGAGTGAGGCAGGCAACCATAAAAACCAGGTCCCCAGATGTGAAAAGAGACAATTTGTCAGGGGTGATCTCAGGAGGGAAGGAAAGAGAGCGTGAAATTATTTTTCATATCTTGCCAAGAGACCAATTTTCCTGTTGTGAAGGAAGGAGCTTCAATTATTGAAGCTATTTGGTCAGAAGTAAGTGGTCGGCAGGGAACACGCATCATCCAGAATGCAGCGCTCAGCCAAGAGGACTGACCACCAGGTTCAGGACCCGGGAGTCCCAAATCAGCAAACTCTTGGCCCAGAGAGGGGCAGGGACTTGTCCAAGGCCACACAGCAAGCACCATGAAAGCTGCTGCCCCTGACAACCTCACCCTCAGCCACTCATGCCTGCTCCTTTGTCCACCCTGTCCTCCCTGCGGCTCCTCCCCTTCCCTCTGTCCACCGGCTTCTTCCACCACTGCCCCGGAGTCACTCACTGTCCACGAGCTAACTCTTTGGCAGGAAGCCGGCGCCCTGTTGCACCTGTCATGGGAGGCTGGGGCTGGAGGTGGAGAGTTCGAGGCCAGCCTCAGCAACTTATTGAGGCCCTAAGCAGCTCAGTGAGACCCTGTCTCTAAATAAAACACAAACTAGGGCTGGGGATGGGGCTCAGTGGCCAAGGGCCTCTGAGTCCAATCCCTGGCACCAAAAAAAAAAAAAAAAAAGCAGCATCAGATCAAAAGGAAGGAGCCATCACTTGTGCTGAGGGGCAGGAGCTGGAGGTGTCACACACCTGGGCTTGTGGGAGGAGGAGGCGGGAGAGGAGGAGGGCTCCCAGAGGAGGGGAGAGCTTCTCCTGCACCAGAGGAGCCTTGGCAGCGCGTCTATTTATTATTAACGAGGACCCAGCAAAGAGGATGACGGCGACGACGCGCCAGGGCCTTGCGTGCGAAGCCAGAGACGGGCGACGCGGCGCTGGGCGCGGGCCAGGCCCCTGCCCCAGGAGGGCGGGAGCAGGTGGCGCCCCGCCCCGCCCCTTCCTGTCGCCCCCGGGCACAGCTGCAGCGATGACCAGATTAATGGAGGGGAAACAGGGCGGGCAGGGGCCCTTCCTGCCGCCAGCGGCGCCTCACATCAGCTCCTGGGCAGGTCTGTGGCACTCCTGGGACGCTGGGCAGCCCCGGGAGGAGCAAAGACTCCCTCTGCCTCCTCTAGGAGGGGAAACGCTGAGCGGTCTGGTCACTGGATGGGGACAGGGATGGTGGGCACAGGACCCCATCTAAGCGGGAAGAGGCCCCTCTGGATCGGTGGCTGGAGCAAAGGGCTCTTGGTTCTGGGCTTGAGGGGTGGACCGTGGACTGCAGGTGCCACTTGTCCCCAAAGTCAACCTGGATCACCTTCTATGACATTGATGCCCTCCCACCGTTTAGCATATGTGCCCCCAAATTCCCTCTCCCTGGCTTTCTGTGTCTCTAGACATTTAAAGAAGGGTCTCTTGCCTGCCGGTGGCTCAGGCCTTAATCCCAGCCGCTCAGGAGGCTGAGGCAGGAGGATCTCAAGTTCAAAACCAACCTCCGCAAATTCGCGAGGTCCTAAGCAACTCTGTGAGCCCCTGTCTCTAAATAAAATATATAAAAGGGCTGGGGATGGGGCTCAGTGGTAAAGCATCCTTGGGTTCATATTCCTGGTACCTAAAGATAAAAATAATAATAATAATAATAAAAAGAAGGGTCTCTGTTTCATGAAAATCAAAGGGAGATCAGTAGAGGAAAGGGACTTGGGGCGGAGGCCGGGAAGGAGGGATACTGGCCAAATTATATTGTTATGTTGTGGTATGCACGGATATGTGGCAACAAATTCATCATTATGTACAACTATAATGCATAAGCAAGTGGAGAAAATAAAATAAAATGTAAAACAGAGAGAGAGGGA